GATAGCCGGAGGTCGGAAAGGCCGAGCTGGAGGGGCGCTGGCGTCGCGAGCGGCGCAACCAGCGAGAGCGAAGCAATCTCGCCCACGGCCAACTCGTCCACGCCGAGCGCGCGCAGCGCCAAGTTGGCGCGGGCTGCCTCGGTCGCCGCGCTGTCGTCCGCGACGGTGGTGGCGGCCGCGAACGCTGCCTGCCGCTCGGTCTCATTCGCCCAGCCAGAGCCGGCTTGCACGAGAGCCGCCCGTCCCCCAACCGTGTGGCGGCGACCAGTACCCGTGTCGTCTTCCCCGGCACCCTCGCGGCCGCCCGCACCGCCCTGCGAGCGCCATAGCCCGCTCGCCTTGGTGCCCGCACCGCCGTCGCCGCCATCGGCCAGAGAGGCCGGCGGGGATGAGGTGGCACAGGTTTCGTGGTCGGCGCGTGTGATGAATGCCTCGAGCGCCTCGAGCGCCAAGCCGCTGACAAAAGCGTCGAGGGCGTCCTTGATCGCGCCAGGGGCGGAGGAGCCAATAGCGAAGTCCAAGGCGTGGCTGGTGGCGGCTAGTACCGCCGAACCGAGCACGTCGCCGCCGTCACTGGGCACGGCGGCATAACGGAGCCGCAAACGCGCAGGTGAGGCTGTCAGCGAGACGTGGCGAGGGGCGACGCCGAGAGCGGCTAGGGCGCACTCGGGCCGCGCCGCCGCTGTCTGGAGGCTGGTGACTGCGAGGGCCTGCGCGCTCGGGTCCAGCGCGAGGATCGCCTCCGCGTGCGCGCCCTCCAGGCTGGCTTCGATCTCCACCTCCTGGTCGAGGCCCGGTGGGCGGCAGCAATAGGCGAAGCAGGCTGTGCCGTCGTTCTCCGCGACCTGCTGCCCTTCCTGCGGCGATGCGGTGGGGCAAGCCCACCTGCTCGTCCAACCGCAGTCACACGCGTCTACCTCGCCTCGCCACTGGCGGTCGGTCGGCATCGGCGGCGTGACTGTCAGCCATGCGCGGGCTCGCAGCGAGAGCGGACCGAGAGTGGTGGAGGCGAGGATGGAGCGCTCCCCCTCCAGCGTGAGGGACAGCGCCTCGACAGAGTCTAGGCCGGCCACGGAGAGAGCGGTCAGCTCGACGTCGGCCATCCCCAGCCCGCCGAGTTCGAGGGTCGGGAGCGCCGGCAGGAGCGCAACCGGCACAAACAGCTCGTCTGGTGGCTCGGTGGCGTTGAGGGCGGGCGGCGGCTGCATCGTGAGCACGGCGACAGCCTGCGCAACGTGGGAAGCAAAGGGCGCGTGCGGAGGAGGGGCGGAGAGGGAGAGGGTGTCGGCGAGGGAGGCGGAGGCGGACTGGAAATGGGAGCCAAGCTGCCGAGTGCCTCTCGGAAGAGTCTCGGAAGCGACTCACCCGCGCCACACGGGAGGCGGCCTCGGCGCCGAGGGAGGCGTTGGATAGCGTCGAGTTGAGCCAGGAGAGGGTGGCCGCGGCGGCGTTATCGCCACCGACGCTGTCACGGCCGAGCTCCGTCCAAATAAAACCGCCCGGTGGCTCTGCCCTCGCGAGCGGGCGGGCGGCCAGCGCTGCGACTTGGGACTCTTCGAATCGTGCGAGTGCGGGGCCAAGGTCAAGCGTGATGATCAGCGCAAGCTCGTCCTTAATCAGCGAGCTGAGCGTCTGCGAGAGCAGCTGCGTCGCCAAACCTGCCACGCCCGAGAGAGGGCCGAGAGACGCGATGTTTACTGTCAGCGCAGCTCCGACTTCGGACCGTTCGAGCTTGATGCCGGCGGGCAGGCCGCTCGAACCACGGGGGGAGAGCGCCAGCACGAAATCGGCCGTGAGCTTCTCGGCCGCTACCCTCATACCACTGAGCGGCGTGAGCGCAGCGAGCTGGCCGAGGGCGCCGACTGCCTTGTCGCTGAGCCGCACACGCAATGCGCCGTCAGCAGCCGGGCCGCGATTCACGTCGACGCGGCCAATAGAGCAGTGGAAGCCACCGTCGGCGATAGCAAGGCTGTAGCGAGGCGGCTGCTGCTGTGCAGACACCGCTGTCTGCATCCCGTCCACGCGCACGCCCCAGCACGCGACCTGCTCGAGGCTCACGCTCACGGCGGACGGCACCTGCTCCCGCGTCTCGACCTGCAAGGTGACCTGGTCTGCGGTGAAGTGGGCGCCGTAGAGGAGCCGGGCGAGGGTGCCCATCGACAAGAGCTGGCGCCAACCCACAAATCAGGAAAGCGACCAGCTCGCGCCAACACACAAGGCAGTAGGCGCGGAGCAGCAAGGAGGTCCGCCGCGCCTCTCGCCTCCGTGATATGATTGTGTATTTCTCGTCGATTCTCGTGCGTAGTGCAACATAATGTGCGCGTAGCCGGACTGCAGAGGTGTGCGTGGCGCTGGGCTTTTTCTTCTTTCATTATGGCCATTTCGTGGCCGCTACCGGCAGCATCTCCCCGACCGACTTCTCAGCCGAAAAGCATGTGCAACGCTGCCCACCTCCCAAGCAAAGGCCAAGGCAGCGACAGCAAAGGCAGCGGCGCGCCGAAGTGGCAGCGCAATGCGAGCCTGCGGCAGCTCTACCGCTTCGCCTCAAAGACAGATCGCTGGCAGATGGTGGCGGGCGTTTCCGCTGTGGTTGTCTCTGGAGCAAACCAGCCGCTGCAGCTCGTCGTCTTTGGACAGCTCCTCGACTCGTTCAACCTTACCGACAAAAGTGAGGTTCAGAGACGCATCTTCTTCCTCGCAGGCATGTACGCGGCCCTCGGCGTCCAGCAGCTCATCACCATATCCATCCAGACGGCGTGCTTCACCACGGTCGCGGCGAGGCAGAGCCTCCGCATGCGCGCCGCGTACTTTGCGGCGCTCGCCCGCCGCCCCCTCTCCTTTTTCGACGGCGCGGATGCGGGCGGGCTAGCCTCGTCTGTGCTCGAGAAGACCACCGCGGTGCAGGCGGGCCTGGGCGATGACCTGGCGCAGCTTCTCCAGCGTCTCGTAGCCTTCGTCACCGGCCTTGCCTGCGCCCTCTACTTCAGCTGGCAGCTCGCGCTGGTCTCGACGGCAGCCGTGCCCCTGCTCGCCCTCTGCGTCAAGTGCGCGAGCGGCGCCTACTCGCGCGCTACAGCCGAGTCGGCGCTGCTGCTCGAC